GGCCCAAAAAGGTTAACCCAGGGTCACCCACTTATTAGTGACAGAGTCCCATGCCAAATGTTGGTCTTTTCTTTTTCCTAATTCAAGGCTCCTTTCTGTCTTGCATTTTCTAAGTGCTTTTGCTGACACTCTCTCACATGGACTTCATACTAGCTGCATTACTGCTCTACTGCCTTTACACTTGTGATTTTCCAGCTCTATTTTCTGTTGTTGACAATAGCACTGGGGGAAATATTACATGAATTCCTCTAAACAATTTCTTAAACCTATGTTCAAACTATACTGCTACCTGGAATAACAATGATACTTTAAGAAAAAGCTGTTCGGCATTCATTTAACACATATTCACTAGCACCTGTTGTATGCCAAACACCACATACCACTAACAGGAAACCTCTATTAACTGGCATCTGTGATTTTATTGATAAAATTGATTCCCATAGTAACCTAATACAGAGTTCACAAACTTCAGGTTATAGGTCAAAACTGGTCTGCTGCCTGTTTTTTGTAAATAAAGTTTTATTGAAACTCTGCCGTGCCCATTCATTATGTATTGTCTATGGCTGTTTTGGGACTATAAGAGCAGAGGTGAGTAGTTGCAACAGAGACCATATGACTCAAACAATGCCTAAACTATTTACAATCTGGCCCTGCACAGAAAAGTTTGCTAATCCCAACCATTTTAAGATTCCAATATGCCATCTTACTCTCAAACCATTTTATATTTGGTACATTTTCAGTAGTAGTAACACACAATACACATGTAATAAACAATTTTATGTTCCCCCGACGCCTTCTCCCTGGGGGGCGATCGGGAGGCGCTAAAAAATAAAAAAAAAAAACAAACCAATTTTATGTTAATCTTCAAAAATCACCAATTCAGTATCATATATATGGTTACATTCTATTCTTTGTGTCTTATTCTCATAATCATTCATGCCAGAAGATAGCATTAACATACTTCAACTAATTAAAATCTGTTTCCCATAAGTCATGGACCTTTAATCCCGGGTCCTCACAAGATTAACAGTTCTAAAATGAACACTAATTATTTTTAAAATCAGCCCTCTCACAGAAAGCCCTTAGAAACACTCCCTTGACTGTTTTAAGTTACTTATCTCATCATATCTCTAGTTCCATTGTGTATATCTTGGTTTCCTACTTGCAATAACTCAAGCATAACAAGAGGCCAGAGTTTTGATCTTGAGTTTAAAAGAAAAAAACAAAAAGATCTTCACATATACTTCATGATGATGTTCGGCATTTCATAGAACTTTTTTGGCTAGATAGTACCCTGGATAACTTCAGGAAATAAACAATATAGTGACTCTGGATTTCTTCCCTGGGTGGAATTAAATAGCCTATGCCTACATTAATTAATTAAAACCCAGCTGCAATTTGCCTTAAAACATTTCTTTAAAAATATTTAATAACTCATAAGATTTAAAAGAACAAAAAATTATACAATGTTAGATCAGACAAGACTTGGGCAATCACTAAATTCTAACAGCTTAATTTACAGATGAGAAAAATGAGGCTTAAATGACTTGCTAATGTGTCAGCCAGTTTTCATTAATTTACACTGACAGCAAATCCTAAAGTCAGGCATTGTGCTGGGGACCAGGATTACATATATATCTTTGTTGAATTCAGTAATCAATGAGATTTTTTGCACTGAAAAAGATACACTCCAGAGAATCAGATAAAATTCCTTAATAACTGCTAGGTATTCTGTTACTTTTCCTATAAAGAAAGATCTTTTCCCATAGGGAGATAGCCCAGTATACAGATTAAGAGTACTGGCTCTGGGAGCCAGACTGCACATTTCCAATCTTTGTCTCTTTCTGGTTGTGTAACCCTAGGGCAATTTACTTAACAGTTCTGTGTCTGTTTCCTGATCTTTAAGGGAATAATCAGAGTATGTAAACAATCCTTCCATGATTAGCACATGCAAGTGCTCTACCTTAGGTATTATTATTATTATTATTATTTTCCTTAGGGAGTTTTCTTATCAAAACATGGAAAAGTAATCAAGATATGGAGAAACTGCCCTTAAAGGCAGCTATTAAAATATAATTATAATCAATTGTAATAAAATGTGATTAAATATAAATGGCAAAGAATAAAAAATAGTTCTTAAAAGGATAATTTTAAGTTAGAGGCTACATAAAATACATGCACAATAAGACCCACTTTTAATATTAAAAACAAACTTTACTGAAACCTATGTTCAAAATATTTCAATCACTAATGTCATGGTCTTTCTGGATTTTACTAGGAATCTGGCCTATGCTGATTAAATGATTGCCTAAACAAAAATTAAAGATTTTCCTTTACAATAATTACCAGTACTATTCAAAGATGGCCTTTGAGCAGGAAAAGTTTTGTACCTGGCACTCTCTCCCTTGAAGGGACTTCTATCAACTTGCAAAGCCACGTCAGAGTCACAGAACACAGGAACCTTACAGTTGTGTGACCTTGGAAAATTCAGTTAACAGGTCTCTAAAAATTCATTACCTCATCTATAAATCGGTAACATCCACATTCCAGATGGAGGGCAGATAAAATAAGATTTCTATGAAAATGCTTTGAGAATTGCCCTTACACATACATTCATTCCTAGTTCTGACCCCTTTCTCCCATTAGAAGTCCTGTAGCAAGCTAATGTTAAATTGTAATTTGTGTATGTGTGTGTGTTTGGGAGGGTGGTGGTGGTGGTACTTAGTCTATTATCATTCCTATTCTAGGTTTCTGGAAATATAAAGTCTAATTATAGCCTCAGATTTCGTTTTTTAAGTATGGGACTCCAGAGACCACTTTAAGTCAGGAAAGACATATTAGGGCCAAGCATCCTCCTGCCTGGTACCCTCAAACTCATGACAAAGAAAACCACAATCCCTATTTGTATATTTCTTTCCTCCACCGACAAAGACTGAATGCTGCCATAATATATGATGGTGAATTATCTTTAGAGGTATTTTAGAAAATTAACCTTATTTATGTAATCAGTAAAAATTTAGATGTTAGCTTCTACCAAAGCTGAAAAGGACTTTGATGAAAACCCCAATAGTATTGAAAGAAAAGATATTAAATTTTAAGCTCATAAAACCTGATACTAGATGGTACTTTATGAACTATTAAGCTCATAAAAAAAGAAATTTATATCACTGAAGACCACTCAAAAAAAAAAAAAAAAGGAAATTTAATCTATTTTAATATGAAGGAGTAGAGGAATCTGGGATCTCTACACTCAGTCTCAGGCACTGTTCCAGTGTCAAATGGCTGGTTAAAAAAAAACATGCACAACCTCAGTGCAAATTAGGTACAACAAGAAATGAACAAAGCTGTCACTTTTGTTTCACTTCAAACAGAACCACCTATGTAATATCTCATATACAGGAACTGGAGGGAATTTGTAAAATGAAAATTCAGGAATCTTATCTTTATAATAGCAGTATTTTAAAAGTCTTATTTAACTTAGAGTAATTAAAATATCCATTTCAATGACCTGAAATCCATTTTAGTTTAATAATTAATAGTAATTTGTTTAAATGAGTAAATTAAAAACACTTTTTGAATTCTTTTTGCTTTTGGACCCTAACTCATCTCTGCCCTATTAGTATCACTTATGTCAACACTAATTCGATTTTTACAAAGACAGTTCTGATCACAATATTTTCTAATTAAGATAAATCCATCACAAAAAGTCACTGTGCTGTTATCACTTTACAAACATTATCTTATTCAATCTTCCCCAAAACCCTAGCAGGGAGGAATCATTATTTCTATAACATCCATTTTAGAGATGAAGAAACTGAGGTTTATAGATGTGAAGCAACTTGTTTAAGACCACAGGGGTTGTATGTGATAGGGCTGTGATTTTAGGCCAATATGCAGTAGGTGCTTCCAGTCACATTAAAAAAGAAAGATAAAAACTAATTTTTTAATTAATTCCATCTAACTTTAAACAATGTCAAGAATCATATATTCTAGGTTGGTTGTAGTTCATTTAAAAAATTAATTTTTTCTATTTAAACATTCATATTTAACTGTTGACCCTATAAAGTAACATTTGACTTCTTTGTTTCCTTTTGTTTTTAGATGTACATAATAAAGTCTTGAGACACCAATACCAAAGTTTTAAAACTTAATCACCACCTTAGAAGCCAAACTTTAGAATCCCCCATATAAAGAATATGGAAGAAATCTCTTATGCAAATGATTCAAGAACTAAGCCTGCAAAAATCAGAACCTACGAATTGTTCTCGAACACCTCAATCCTCGACTCCCACCCAGTCAACTAAAGAAACAAAATACACAACTTAACACAGAAACGAGGAAATATACAACAATCAGGAGAACTGAAACATCAGGCCATTTCTCTCCTTATTTTATCCATCTGGCCAAACGGACTGAACTACAAAGGTGTTATTCCTATTGCCCTTTACAAATTGCAGAATTTTAAGTGACAGCTAAAAAGGCAGCTGCAACATGAGCACATTGGACTCGAGAACGCTGAATCCAAAAAACATTTATCACCAGGTCTCAGTTCTAGCTTCTCTGTCAATTATACAAAGAGTCAGCTATTAAATATTAATGGCATGCCATTTGCACTGGAGCTCTTAAAAAGAGCCTTCTGCTACCAATTTTTGTTATGAAAGAAAAATGTTCTTCTTTTCTAGGTAAACCCCAGCCCACTAGAATCCCTCAGAGGAGCTATCTTATTCCTTCCTTCCCAGGGGAGGCTGACAGGGCCACCTCCACATCGCGGGGAGGAGGAGGAGGAGGGACCTGAGGGAAGGTGGGTGCCCGCAGGTCCCGGGGTGGGGGTCTCGGCTCCCCCTCTCCCTCACTGGTCAGCGACAGGTCGGAGGACGGGGCGGGGCCGGGCCCGGCTGTCCGCACAAAGAGAGCGAGCGAGCGAGCTGGCAGGCGGACCTGGACCCCGGCCGGGGTGGGGACCGGGCGGGGCGGGGTGGGGCGAGGCGGGGGACACTTACCCAGCAGCAGCACGTTCTTCCCCGCGGGGAGCTTGGAGCGCGAGCGGGTGGAGACCTCGCTGAGGATGCAGGACCTAACCGGGAGCAAGGCGCACGCTGAGGCCGGGGCCGGGGGCCGGAGCCGCAGCGCGGGAGGGACGGACCCGGCCTCTAGGCGCGCCCAGGCAGGGGCTGCCGAGAACGCGGGGGCCGGGCCCCGCGCCGAGCTCTGGCGGGCACGGGATCCCGAGGCGTCCGCAAGGCCGGGAGAGCCGGCGGGGGCTCAGGGAGGGGTGGGGTCGTTACCAAAGGTTCTGCCCGTCCTCGTCGTCGCCTGCCGCGGCGCCGCCGTTGCCCGACGCTAGTTCGTTGGCCAAGGAACCGCCCGTGTAAGTCGAGGCTAATCCCGGCGGAGAGGAACCGAAGGAGCCGACTCGCCCCACGGCCGCCATCTTGCTCGGGAATCACTCCACTCCCGGCAACGCTGAATGAGCGAGGCGGCGAAGACCGCGGCGGCGAAGGCGGCGGGAACCCGGATATGGGGCGTTCAGCGCACGGGAGCAGGGCGGAGCCTGTGGGGGCGGGGCCCGGGCCCTGCCGGGACTGACAGAGCCTGCGAGGCCGGACTGCGCATGCGCTGCGGGCAGCCGGCGCAGAGGTGCTGCGCTTGCGCGGGCGGCGCGCCAGGCTGCTGTGCTGCAACCTTAGGTTCTCTGATCGCATCGTGTTGAAGCGCTTTCTTCCCGCGCACCCGCTGCCTAGGGCTGCCTCGGGGAAGTGCGGGTTGGGTGTGTCAGCTGAACAGTGCTCCCTTCCACCCTTGGGGCAGGTGCACGAACCCCGCACCCGGTGCGGGATTTCTGCACTGTCATTGCCGGCCCACCCGCTATTCAGGCTGGCGCGGGTCCCCAGCCTACACCGGCGTTTCGCCGGCGCCGGAACAGAAATGGACCTCCCCGCTGGTAAAGAAGCTGTTCTGCAGCCCCGGGCTGGAGTATTACTGTGGTCTTGGATTTCTGGGCTTTCTTGTTTGCATTCTCACGGGGCAATGTGTTCCTCAGACTGGACGTACATCAGCAGCATGTTCTCCCACCCTCGAAGCAGCTGCGTGACAAAAAAAGTATTGACAGGGCTTGCTTTAATGCTCTTGATATTTTGTATGAGATGCTCTGTGAGATTTGAAAAGACCCACTAGGGGAATCATCTAACCAGTCACCAGGCGTTTATTCCACATTTAACGTTTATTTGCAGGTGGCACTGGGAATACACGGATAGAAAAGAAATAATCTTTAAAAACCTCAAAATAACTCCCTTTCTATTAGAAATTTACTGGTAAAATGTGTTTGAATGTCTGAGCTCCACGTCCACAGTCAATGGTTTTAAGGTCCTACTCTAGTACACATTGTAAGAGCAGTTGCTTAAAACCGTCAGGCCTTTGTTTATTATCGATGTCATTTCATATTTGAAGGTCACTTGCTGATCAGTGCTGTTACACTAGTGAGAAAGTCCACAACCAAAGACTGTAGTTGGTATATATTAACACCTTGGAAGGCTTTGGAGGCTGGCAAATCTGGGTTCAGGTCTAACTCTACCAGGTTACTAAGTATGTAACCTTAGGCAATTTACTTAACCTCTCTAAGTCTCAATTTCTTTATCTGTAAGAATGGGATAAAAGGACCTAGAGTTAGTTGTTACAAAGATCAAATGGGATAATTCATGTAAAAATGACTTAGAACAGCAACTAGCAAATCTCTAGCACACCCATGTTAATTGTTATTAATGAAAGATTCCTTCCCCCTCCCCCTTTTTTTTTCCTATGAGACAGGCCAGGCTAATTTTTAAATTTTTTTATAGAGACAAGGTCTGGCCATGTTACTCAGGCTGGTCTTGAACTCCGGCCTCAAGCCATCCTCCCCTCTCATCCTCCCAGTGTGCTTGGATTCCTCTCATCCTCCCAGTGTGCTTGGATTATAGGTGTGAGCCAAAGAGTCTTGCCCACTTGTTGTTTATGTGGTCAGGGAAGGAACCGGAGCCCTCCCTGGCTGTCCCAGGTTTTGTGTGGCACCAAGCAGGACAGGGATCCTCCAGGAGACTGTTCCAAAAGAGAGCTGTACACTCTTCTTGGCCCCTCTCAGAATCAGTTCACACTCTCTGCACTTTATTCTTTCACACGTCTTTTTTCCTCAGAACACTTTTCCCTCAATTTTGTTTATGTACAGAGTTGTCAGTTCCAGATCATATTTGTCTAGTCTGAGAAGTATTTACTTTTATAATGTCAGGTTTTTAACATCCTGCGACTTCCAGTTGCTCAGCTATCCACTTAAATTGAGGTCAAAGTTGTATTCCTTGTGGTTTTATATTATCCCTATCTGGTATTCTTCCATTAAGGTGGCTGACAAAAGTGGCCATCTATGGATGCCTACTATGTACCAGACACTGTGCTTGTTGTGATTTGTAGTCCTCATACTTTGTAAAGGATCAGCTACCCCAGGTTACACAGACCAGAGGTTTATAGATAACCTGAGATTTTGACTTTTCACTCTGTCAAATTGGCTAGGTGAAATCATGTTAAAATAAATGTCCTGACAGCTTTAGGTGAGATTATGGTGAATGCCTTCTGTGACAATATGTATGTTACAAAAATAAGGAACCTGTGTATTGTATGGAAATCTATAAAAGGAAATAATTGAGCAGGCCCATGGACTTTTTGTTGCATAAGTGCTGTTTACAATTGAGCTATTTTCTATACTATGATCACTTTTTCTTTATTGCCCAATTTTTTGTTACATCTAAAATTAATTATTTCTGCAGTGACTATTAGATATGTGAGGAGCAAAAAGAAAAGAAAAAAATAGTAAAGTAAAAAATATAAAAAATAAAAATAAAAAAATAAAGAATAAAATTAATAACCATCTGTTTTTCATTTGCTTAGACTTCTATGTCCTTAACTCTAATTCGGTCTTAAATTCTTGTCCCAGTTATGTAAAACTCCTTATTAGGTATCCTAACAATTTCAGTTTCTTGAGGACACCTTTAAGAACCTTCTGGCCTGCTCCAATCTGAAGTGGTTGTTCTGTAAACATAATACACAGCAGTCATCCTGTGATCTCCTTTCACCATTGTTCAGGGGATTCCCTTTACCTCAATCCTGTGTCTTCTTTCTTACTTCCTATTTTAATAGAGAACTTCCTCCAATAGTTTTTTTTGTTTGTTTTTGTTTTTGTTTTTGAGACAAAGTCTCACTTTTGTTGCCCTGGCTAGAGTGAGTGCCGTGGCGTCAGCCTAGCTCACAGCAACCTCATGGGATACACTAAAGCTGTCCCAGTAGGACCTCAGTACTTCCCTGATATAACAATAGGTTACTATCATTGATAAGCCTAAGGAAGCCCAGAGCCTCCAACAAAAAGTAAATCTATATTTATACAACCTGTTAAAATAGCAAAGGAGTCAAGAGTATAATATATTTTAGAAGATTTATATTTTTAAAATGGTTAAAATATTGTAAAACGAGCTCCTGCTTTTGAATGTTGGAATGAGGAACTTCTACTCCCTTCTCCTCTTAAAACACACACATACACACACAACATAACAACATGGCCGGCATGGTGGCTCACGCCTGTAATCCTAGCACTCTGGGAGGCCGAGGCGGGAGGATTGCTTGAGGTCAGGAGTTTGAAACCAGCCTGAGCAAGAGCGAGACCCGTCTCTACTATAAATAGAAAGAATTAATTGGCCAATAATATATATAGAAAAATTAGCTGGGCATGGTGGCGCATGCCTGTAGTCCAGCTACTTGGGAGGCTGAGGCAGAAGGTTGCTTGAGCACAGGAGTTTGAGGTTGCTGTGAGCTAGGCTGACGCCAGGGCACTCACTCTAGCCTGGGCAACAAAGCAAGACTCTGTCTCAAAAAAAAAAAAAAAAGAAACAACAAAACACAACACACAATATCCTGAAATTTTAGAACTTAGGGACAAGGAGTAATTCATGTCTTCC